AGTATTCAGATGAGCTGGTCATCTGATATAGGCATTTTGAATGAATTTTCCTTTTTCCTCGTTGCCACTGTTATGATTGTATTTTGCTAATAAACGACCCAGCTATTCCTATTGCTTAGTATTCTTATACAATGACACTCGACAAGACCCCAAAATCAGAACACTTTGAAAAGGAATGAAATTGTATTCAAAATAACAATTGTAAGTAAACAGCAATCACTGATTTGAATAACGTTCATATATTTATAGTATATACATAAGAAGCTTCTAGATTTTTCTCCAATAATTTTCCCGGGCTGATCGGTTTAGAACTAGCCAATCAACGCGCAGCAACACCATCATGCATGAAACATGCTTTAATCCAACCTATGTCCCGCTAACACTTACCCACGTTTAATTAATCACCTTTCAAGCCACCTCAAGTATACAGCTTTGAAACAGAAAATGCGTTAGCTCCTACAAAGTAACATTGTTTAATAATCTGGTTTTCGGGAGTATTCAAAAATTTGCCTGAAATCGGCAGATAAAAAGAGTTTAGGCATCTCAACGCCGTGCGGTTCACGACAATCTACTAAGATATTTTCAAGAACTCGAACGATTTCAGGTCCGTTTGTCCTATTTAAATTCGAGGTAACCTGGACATTCCTTTAAAATGAGACCGCTATTATACCACACAAACTTCTTGACTATCTTACTTCAGTGATTTGATGCATGCAATTGAATACTTCCGAGAATAGACCGTTTATTAGTAGCCTGGATAACGGCTTTTACTCAGTTACAAAAGTGAAGTTGCACCAGCAACATGTTTGTACACCAAATGTTGTTTACTAAAAGCTTGCTGACAACACTGACGGCTCTGAGGAACTGAAACAAACTCAACCAAAATCGTCAGGATAGAAAAACATGTAGGGAAACATGTCAACATAATGCTGTCTGTTCGCCTCTGGAACCAGTAATAACTACAACATTAAGGTGACGTGCCATTTTGAAAGACCAACTTTAAGGACATTAAAATTCTTCTTTAAAATTCAGGAAATGGAAATCTCCACACAATCAACTTACCACATTCATCCAGGGTGGAAAACGATGGAAGATTTAATTCAGCTCACGTGAACTAATATAAATAACAAAAGTGTGGTGAAAAAAGACATTTTCGGTTTCATAAGCAAAAATGGATAGTGGCTAGCAGTGGAATCCAGGATGCGCGTTTCCTCCTATTTAGGACTTGTCAGCTGGATGTACCTGCATCTCAGAGTTCATGTTCACTCTGAGCCTCGAACCCAGTACCTTTCGTTTCAAACGCCATCGCGTCATCCACTCGGCCACTGATTCCTGATAGCCATTTGCTTGTGCGAAGCGGTGGAGTCTAAATTAACTTAGTATTGCTTGTTTGAATCTCAGAGCGAGCATCAACCCTGAGATGCGAGTACATCCAACTGACGAATCCCAAATAGGACGAAACACGTGTTCCGGATTCCACTGTTAGCTACTATCCACCTTTGCTCATAATGCCTATGAATTGAGGCAGTATCTATGCAATACGCACAGCATGCACATATGCCAATAAGAGACTGGTCTATTGTAGTCCTAAATATCAATGGGAATAATAAAACAAACAATACCAAGTGAATTTTCAGTTCCAGTCTGAAAAGAAAAGGAGACTGGGTGGCCTATGTTAGTCCTGGAGACGCTAGTCTGTCAGTTTATCCAAATTTCTTTCAAAAGTGTAGACAGATGGAACTTCAAGCACGTATTGAGTTAATGAATTCCACTCCTTGATGATTCGATAGGGAAGTCAATATTCAGCTGACAAGTAGTTTGTACTCAGTTTGTGAGCTTTTCTAGTGCCGTCGTGAATCCTCAGTTTTGGAGGAAAAAGAAAGTGAAGGCATGTTAGATGCTAATTTGTCACTAGGTAGTTTAAATAATGTGATCAAGACACCCCTGGTTCTTCTAAATGACCACCGAAATAGGTTTTGTTCAGTCAGTCGAGCATCATACGTGAGCTTCTGTATGTCGGAAGTAAGCTTAGTTGCGGTTCTCCGAGCCTATCCTAACAGCCTCATTTTGATCAGGGTTTAGCTGCTTGTATGCAGTACTCTTTTTCAGGTTCTTACGGACAACAGCAACTTCAGTGAAACTGCAAGATCAACAAAGCAGAACGCAGAACGTAATACGACATCCACATTGCCATACAGTGACGCCGGAAACGATACACATCCCGTTATTAGTGCAAACATTTAATTTGTTGCCAAGATGAATCGCGGGAAAATTTGATGTACTGTCACTTGACTTCAGGGCCTCACATGTACAGCGAATTCTGTATGTTGAAGCCACAGTACTTGGGAACGGTGAGGAATTTAGACTTTGGGTACTCGCGCATACGTTACATGTTATCGAGTGTTTTGGGCGTCGTTATTCATCAGCTTTTAACATTTTTCCTGTCACATCATTTCTCGTAATGTTTGCGCTTGTTGCATAGCTTTTATTCCATTTAATTAGTAGTTTGACGTAGTTGTTATTCACAACCCGGGTGAATGTTTAGTCGATCTAATGTAGTTGACTGTAACAGTACAGACTCAAGCAAGCGAAATAAACTATTTATCCATTCAAAAAGGGTGTGGTCAGATTCTTTAGTCAAAAATGAGCTCTAAAACATTTTACATTCTATTCACCCCCCTAGTTAGAATGGTGATGATCATGGATAATGGCACTTATTCATAAAATGCATATTGAAGCAATTCCGCGATTAACTATTATTGAACATTGTGTAAGTTGCTAGCATACAACCATAAACAGTGTTATCCATTGTAATTATCATCATTTTCTACTGGATTGACATATTATTATGTAACGTACCTTGGAAAGAAAAATTTTATGAGTAAAGATCGCCCGCCTACTGATCACATACAGAAACTGTATATAACATTACTGTGATATATTAATTGGTCACACATTCCTGATAAATAAAACGGTGCGTGTTTGTTATAAACATAGTAACTAGACTATGGTGTTAGTTCATATTAATTTATGGTATGCCCGCTATAGGGTTAACGAGTGAACTTCTATGAACAGGATCTGCAAACACTAACCAAATTATAAGCAAAGATCTATTGCATATTGACGAGTAATATCTAAATTGTGCTTACCAATGAATTTGTAGTAGCATTGGTTTTATTATATGTAAACTATGAATTGACATTAGTGTTACGAACTCCTTAACTGAATTTCTCTCAAACTTCATATTACTACTTAAAGCTTTAAATCGCTTTATTTGGTGCCTGTGTTTTTTGGGAATACCAATTTTACTAAGAGGGTTAGAAATTGCAGAGCACTGTTTACAACAAGTAAGACTCTTATAGGCATAATCACTTTTAGTTAATTGGTATTGTAAATAGAATCAACACCAACTACTTCTGGATATGTGTTATATAATTCTATTTGCTCATAAGTAATAAAGCAGATTCTGGTGACATCTAATTTCTGAATAATTTCTCAGCTGGACGTTATACCGCGACTTAATAAATACTGAAGTCGTAAAGAACAACCTGAAATATACTATATATTACTTTGTCTGTTGGTGGTGATTGCACCACCAACAGCTCCAGATATTCTTTTTCTTTTGAAGACAATCTTCTAATCCACAGATCACAAACCACCAACGAACGACTATGAAGATTGTGGCGGACCAAAATGTTTGATAACCAAAAAATTAGCAACAAAAATATTATGTCTATAGTTTATGTAACAATTAACAGTTAATAAGTAATTACACACAAAAATAACAAAATAAGGGACGTTACTTAAGTCTTCAGGCTATTGCGTGTTCGGCTGGGTTTGGTCCAGATACTCCACAATTATAACAAAATTAATAATCCCAATATGGACGATATAGATCCAGTAGTTTTACCAAGCGTATAATCCAATAAGAATGTCGCAATTGTCTATAAACGTAGATGGTATGCAATTAATATTTCATTCAACATATTAGCAGACAGGACAGAACGATGCAGATGTGAATTAGAGTGTATTTGTTGAGGAGAATTAACAGTGGCACGGTATGTTGTACTCAAAACGGAAGGAAGATGTGTTACAAGCGTTCAAAGTAATACAGTTAAACAACAAGTACAATTGTTTAATGCTTAATGTACAGAATATGAAAATACATGCGAAAACTATGAAAAATTATTTACAAAATAGGTTTTTAAGGTTCTATCTCCACAAGATCATTGAAAAGAATCTTGAATGGCTTTATGACATATTCCCAACCGTCCAAAGTTACATGGAACGCTAATTGACAGCTCAAAAACGTAAACCTTAAACGATACATGTAACTTAAATTTCTCGCATATTTCAGTTCATTGTTAGACCATGTGGTTCAGGCTTATGATCAAATATGCACCGAAACACCACAAACAACTATTCAAATCTCATGTCCTTCGGAAGTTTACTTTCGGCGTGAATGTAATGAGTATGGACGGCTTGACAAGGGAGGAAAGTACTATTCCTTACTTCTAGCATACTATCGAACTCAGTCCAGCTTCCGAAAGTACTGTTCAGTATTATACTATGGAACGCCTAGCTAACGTCGACTGATATCTTTTGGGCTTGAAGCACTTCTAACGACATCCAGCAATTACTGAAAGAAGCCACTAACTGCAGTGAAATTTTATTAACCAAAGAAAATACTACTAGCACTTAAGACTTATTGGTTGTTTGACATTTCTCTCTAATCTTTACGTAAAAATGCGATTCACGTAAACTTCGCCTATCTAGGACAGTTAGGTTATTTTCGTTCTTGTAACGTTGCTTTCTGGACCATATTAAGCTTTAAAAAAGACACTTCGGTTCAGTAGGTTACCTGGTGTCTGAGATCAAGTTACGAAGCAACAATCGAGCTAACGTGTACACTACAAAAACAGAGAAAGGTAAACTAGTGTTCTTTGTAATGATTTTGTGATTTTACTGCAGCGAAAAGATACTTAGGTATGAGAACACTCATTATTCGTGCAACCCAACGGACAGCCTCAAACCCACAGCAATTGAAATACGGAATGGCGCCTCATATCAGGACGCTCAAGGACGTTTAAACGAAATGCGGGCCGACTTTGATTGAACCTGGCATTTTTTTTAAATTGTCATTAGTACTTGTCTTGACCGTTCGTCGCTTAACAATGGTCCGAACATCTCTTTTTGTAAGTTCATAATCTTACTAGGGAATTTGTTAATATAAATCACAGGATAGTGGAATTTGTCAAGCTATTAGCTGTGAGCTGACCATCGGGTGTTGTACATTTATACTTGGTGTCATCAATCGCAGCCCAATCTGCTTAGCTGGTAACTTTATTTTAGGGCATATTCAGCCATGGAGTGAAAATAGTAGGTGACTGTTAGTAGGAGACAAATGCATTTGATATTAGTTGGACTGAGATGGCCACGGAGGAATATGTAAGCCCCTTTGATAACAGGTTCCTGATAACGGTAGTCGAGCATGATTTATACAGCATATATCCAACCCCACACGTTCCGGTGCAAACTAATGTTCCTCTCCGTTAGAGTTGGTAATTACTCATGCGACTGAGGATATTGCCAACCCAAATATTCTTCCATCGTTAGGGAATAGCGATCACGCCTTTTTATCATTCACGTTTAGAGCTAGTGGCATGATATATGATCAGGTTAAGCCCCACCTGAATGTGTGCAGAGCTAACTTATCGGTCATTCGGGAGTTCGCTGCTAAGACAGACTGGTCAGTAGATGTTAGCTCATCAGTTGAAGAAGCATGGTCTATATTTAAAGGTAAGTGTATTTCAATTACGTCCTCGTTTTTATCATGCCTGGTACCACTTAGATCGAATAACTTTCCACCATGGATAACTAAATAGGTCAAGAATCTTCTTGAGCGTAGGAAAAAGCATTGGATATGTTCATCTCTACTGGCTTACAACAATACAGATTCAGTTATTTTAAGACTAGAAATGTCTTTAATAAATAAAACCGGATTTCAACAATCCGAAACAGTTATTCTCGTATATAAAAAGGCGGACTCAGAGAAGCGATGGGATTCCATCACTTTCGGTACAAGAAAACTCGTTAATATTGGAAAAATATGATGCCGAAAAAGTTGAAGCTTTATCGAAATATTTCAGTGAAGTATTTTTCATCGGCAGTGAGGAATGACCAACTCTTAATTGTGATTGTGGTGACCGGTTGATGAACCCTGTAGTTATTGAGAAAGGCACTGTCCTAAGACTACTTCAGCATCTCAAACCTGATAAGTCCAGTGATCCTAATGATATTCATCCTAGGATTATGAAAGCCGTATCGGGTATAATTGCAGAACCTATAGCCATGCTGTTTGATATGTCTCTGTGGCAGTCCAGACTGCCATGAGACTAGAAAGAAGCAATAATTAGTCCTCTGATGACATTAACATTTGGAGACCCACACATTGTATGTCGGATAGAATAGTATTACAGAATAATCTCAACTCATTGATGGCATGAATGGACGGATGATCACTAGAAGTGAATCCTAACAAGAGTGTGGTGTTGCAATTAAATAACTATGATGATTCGTATCACTATTTAATACGTGGATTCGTGTTACCCAAAGTAATGAATTATAGAGATTTAGGAGTCATAATAAGCAGCGATCTCAAAACTACGAGTAACCGTAAGGCTTCTGCTGCAAAGTGCTATAGGGTATTATAGGCTATTCGTAGGTATTTTCAGTATCTAGACGAAGAAATGTTTAGATTATTATACCTGATTTTCGTGAGACCGCATTTAGAATATGGGATCCAAACAGCTAGTCTTTGTTTCAAGTATGAGGCGGATGTGCTGGAACGAGTCCAGCAATGAGGGACTAACATGATAAAAGGTCTCTCTGGTGCATCTTATCAAGACAGACTGAGACACCCCAGCTTATTTCCCTTACCTTACTGTCGAATACGGGGTGATCTTATATCGTACAATGAACGATAACCTTGGTATTAATAAACCTTATCTTTACATTCCGTCTAGGACTGGTCATTTGCGAGGACCTTCGAAGAAAGTCCAAAGACCGAGATCAAATTGTCTACGTCTGGAGTTTTGTTTCTCGCACCGAGTAGTGAATTACTGGAATTCTCTACCGGAACAAGTTATATCAGCACTTTCAGTTGATATGTTCAAAACGAGATTGGATCTCCACAGTGTTACAAACTGCAAGAATTGATATAGGTCGATAGACCTCTTTTCCTTATTACTGAAGACTAAATTGTTTTTGAACCTCCAGACAATTTTCTTCAGTTCGAAATTGCACAGCCACGTACTCTAAATTTAGCAGTTCACGCGGTTGATGAAACAGATCTACTCTTCAGATAGATTTCTTCGGTAAAATTAGGTTCGGCAGTAACGCTATGGAAAATTTTCACCTTTCAAGTTCTTTTCAGTGAACGTGTTAAGTAAGGACTACCTTAATTGATTTTGAGAACTTAAAATGGACATGTTTGTAACTATTCTTTGATTAAACAAAACACCTAAGTTATTAAAGTCTGGATTTGTGAGGTTAATCTACTTACCTTACCACCGGAGACGAAAATCCGTGGGATAAGGCGGTGTGCATTTTTAGGGTCGACCTTTTCTAACCCCACCCCTCCTTATGGGAAGGCAACATCGCTGTTATGCTGGATGTCTGAAGGAAACACCTTACTGCCGCCACACCTCTGTACAGTCGGCAGTACGACTTCGCCTTCGGACCTTGGGATTGCTGTTTTTAGTCTTACTACTCTTTAACCGACCTGTCTGGCATGGTAGGACCTCGAGGAACGATCGTTTCAGCCAGCATAGTTCGATTGGTTCATCATGATAGAGAAGCCCGACCACCACGTCAAGGTAGCAGCAACGGTCGGGGAGCGAAAATATAAGATAAGTTAACACCCAAATCGTAATACAAGATACGAAATGCCAATATAATGTCACCTCGCGTCCTACAATACGACAAGGAGAAAAGGTTTAGGCATTTCAAACGTTCATCGTAAGGAAGTTTGGTGAGACTCGTCACTAAATTTTTCCCCAAACTCTGAACACACAAGTATGACAGCATCCTTAATAAAACAAGCCAGCTACTTGGATGAAGTACTCTAGGTGTAGTCTCATACTTAGGTAGGGTATAAAATCCTAAAGATCTTGTCAAAGCATATGAATGCTCGGCGAGGTGACCATAACTCTCAAAAACCTTTTGCAGCTACTCCATTACGATGTGCATTTGTTTTATGCCACAACTTACTGTTACTCCCAAGTCTTTTTGTTCCTCCACTCGTTGATGGTATACTGGTAATTATCGCTGTGTCCGATATGCATTAGCACACCTTCTAGAATTAATTTTTCAACCTCAACTCTTGGACCTTCTAACCAAATTATCTAGGTCAGCTTGTAGACTAAGATAATCAACCCTACTACTTATTGTTCTCCAGATTTCTTCACCATCTTCAAACAATACTGTCGACAACTTAAACAGTTTCTGTAATTTTTTAACTTGGAGAAAAAGTAGGCGACATAAGATGGTGTCTTAGGGTACACCACTTTTGACCGGCTTCCATTCAGACTTTTTTTATTTTATTTTATTTAAACACAAATATTGGTACAAGGAAGCACCAGATAAATATGCGCCTCACAAATCTCATTCGATTTGTGTGACGGCTGTGATACTGCCCAGACTAAAGCAGGTGATTTTCTTAGGGGGCCACACCCGGAGCCTTTGACCTGAATATCTGATCCACAAGGCAGTGGAGCATCGTGAGGAGATGCACTCCCATGGTAGCCGGTGATCAACGGTTGATTCGTACGCCATTTGTTCCCTCAGGATACTGGAGCCCATGTGCACCATCGGTTTGGAATCAGGGTTTTCCAACTCCCCTAGGTGAACTCGCCTTGTCCACCAACCCGGTTAAAGCGCCGGACATTCGCTTTTCGTCCTCTCACTTTCGTAAACAACACCCGCGCCACGAGAAGGCAGTGAGTAGGACTTCCCATTCAGATAGTGTCCCATTTATCATCACCCTCTATCTTCGGTCACAGGGTAAGTTTCTTATCCACTCTTGTACGTCATCTGTTGTTCCAAATCTCGAGACCTTCTGCATAACCCCTAATTACGAAACCTTGTCAAATATTTTGCTAAAACCTATGAATATCACATCATTAGACAAGCCATTGTCTTGGGCTGCTATCCAACCCTTTCCCGCAATCAGTTAGTTAAGCGTGGTTGCTTATTACGAAACCCGTATTGCTCAGAAGTTAACAGATTGTATGTGTACTACACCAAAACTCATGCTACTCAGTGAATTAGTTATAATCATTTTATCAAGACCTGATTACTAGTAAGATTGAAAAGAACAAATTACGGTCTAAGATTATATATATATGTAAGGTACGCTAACTTATGGAGTTTTCCATAAGGTGAACTAAAACTAGAATTGCCTTCAAAATTTCACGAAGAGAACGTGAATTCACTCGCTTTATCGTGACTATCTTACCATCATAGCAAAAGTTCAACAAACTAAAAAGATGTGACTCGTGTACGTAAAAGGACATGGAAAGGGTTAGTCGTGGAGATAAGAGAGTTATAAGGAGTAGGAAGGATTTGAAAGTGACCAACTTGGTCCCGTGTGCAGTTACGGGTATGAGGGCTAATATCACTTCCCGGTTGCCCACACCGTGGAAGGGTATTTCTTGAGGGATCTGAAAAAGAAGTTGGATTAGTGTTGGTCTGAACGAACTGGGAGCGTGACCGCAGTGCCCATGGAACAACTGCTTGAGGTCGGTCACGCACGGCCTTTTAGTGGGGGATTTTTGACGTTTTAGCTCCGTTCTTCAAAGGACCTTACAGCCGGAGACGGAAATCCGTGGGATAAGGTGAGGTGTGCATATTTAGGGTCGACCTTTTCTAACCCCACCCTTCCTTGTGGGAAGAAAGAATAGTCGTTATGCTGGTTGTCTAAAAGAAACACCTTACTGCCGTCACACCTCTGTACATTCGGCAGTACGCCTTCGGACCTTGAGGTTGCTGCTTTTAGTCTTACCGCTCTTCAACCGACCTGTCTGGCATGGTAGGACCTCGAGGAACGATTGTTCCAGCCAACATAGCTCGATTGCTTCATCAGCCCTTGTGGTCTGGTGTATGACGAAATCTCAGCACGGATACAGAAAGCTCGTCTAGCTTTCGCCAACTTGCACCATTTATGGCGTAGGCGAGATATCCGTCTAGCAACAAAAGGACGGGTTTACTGTGCAGCAGTCCGTTCCGTCCTACTTTATGGCAGTGAAACATGGCCCATAAGAGTTGAGGATATTCGTGGGCTACTAGTGTTCCATCATAGATGTCTTCGACGCATTGCTCGTATATCCTGGGACCACCGGGTAAGTAATGCAGTTGTTAGGAAACGGGTACTAGGTAAGGATGACAAATCGATTGATGAAGTAGTGAAACTTTATCAGTTGAGATGGCTGGGACATGTGTTACGTATGCCCAACCACCGACTGCGACGACGTGCAATGCTTTATGGTGTAGGAGCAGGTTGGAAGAAAGCTAGGGGCGGCCAGACTAAAACATGGCATAAATCCATGAAGTCACTGACAAGTGGACTGAGCCATGTTGGTAGGTGTAGACTACCTGGTTGGGATTCGCGAGATGATAGCAACCGATGGTTAGAGACCTTGAATGACATGGCTTAAAATCGCTTGCAATGGAGAAGGCGTATCCACTCCTTGTGTTCTACGAAATTCTAACCTTTTGAATTCTTCATGTCCCTATCATTTTTCTCTTTCCCAATTTATTTCATTGTATTATACTCCTTCAATAACATCTTCAAACCCTTATCTTTCACATAATACTTATACTCTTACTACTTCTACCAATATGGGATTTGAATCGACAACTTCATCTCTGTGCTAATGTGGTATGGCAACTCGAACTGATGTACGTAAGTACGAAGTTCTACGTTGTAACTGTCTGACGTGTACGTAAAATGTACTGATTTTAAATACGTTGGATAATTATCCGCACAAATGTTCATAGTAATAGTCGAATATTTGAAATAGTCTTATAAATGAATATTCACTAAGATTATCTTTTTTTTTATTAAATTCGGTTGTATAAAATATTAAAAAACATTTCTCATGATGTTAATGATCTTAAACAAGCAACAATAATTTATAAAGTACGTACTTACGCCTGTTACCCCTCGTGGAGGAGCATAAGCCACCCACCAGCATTCTCTATCCAACTCTGTCCTGGGCAATCCTTTCCATGTCTGCTTCCGATTCCCGACGCAGTGTATTCGTTGGTCTCTCTTCCGTTCCTCTTCAGGATTCCAAGTTAGCGCTTGCCTCGTGATGCAGTTTGATGATTTCCGTAATGCATGTCCTATCCGCCTTCAAAGTCTTCTCCTAATTTCCTCTTCACCTGGAAGCTGATCTGTTTTCTCCCACGGTAAGCTGTTGCTGATGATATTCGACGAGCGGACATTGAGTATCTTACTTGGGCAATTGTTTATAAATACTTGTACTTTTTTGATGATGGTTGTAGTAGTTCTCGAAGTTTCAGCTCCGTACAATAGAACTGTCTTGACTTTCGAATTAAAGATCCTGACTTTGGTATTGACTGACAGTTGTTTTGAGTTCCGTATGTTCTTCAACTGTAGGAGTGCTGCTCTTGTTTATCAATCCTTGCCTCCATATCTACACCAGATACTCCTTGTTTATCGATGATGCCGCCCAGGAACGTGAAAGTTCCCAGCTCTTTCGGAGTTTCTCCACTAAGTGTGATTGGGTTGGTGTTCTCCGTGTTATGTTTGGGGATCTTGCCTTTTCCCTTGTGTATGTTGAGGTTTACTGATACAGAGACTGCTACTACACTGGCTGTCTTGATCTGCGTTTGTTGGTGTGTATGGAATAGAAGAGTCAGGTCATCTGAAAAGTCCAAATTGTCTAGTTGCATTCAAGCTTTCCGCTGTATTCCGTGCTTCCCCTGAAATGTGGGGGTCTTCATAATCCAGTCAACCACCAGAAGGAAAAGAGGGAAAGCAAGTAGCCTTGTTTGTTTCTCGGTTCTTACTTGGAATGCGTCTGTCAGCTGTCCTTCATAGACGACTTTGCGGTGTAGTCTGTCGTATGAATTCCGTATGGTGTTGACGATTTTTTCGGGTACACCGTAGTGTCGAAGAAGGTTCCATAAGGTTCTCCTATCCACGCTGTCAAACGCCTTTTTCGTAGTTAAGAAAGGTGATGTGCATAGTGACAAGTTCCATTCAATTGATTGTTGAAAGATGATTCATAGTATCACGATTTCATCTGTGCACAACCGGTGCTTACGGAATCTGGCCTGTTGATCTTGAAGCTAGGTGTCTACTGAATCTTTCACCTAGCTCAGCAACACTTGAAAACTTTTCATGGTACTGATTGTAATATAATGCCTCTGTAGTTATCACATTCGCTCAGATCTCCCTCGGTATTTTGATAAGGTATCTTTCTTCCCAACCTGTCGGCACTTATTCATCCTCCCAAATCCTCCTGAATAGGACGTGGAGCATGTTTGCAGTTACGTCTATGTGTGACTTCAGTGCTTCAGCTGATATGTCGTCTGGTCTTGTTGCTTTCCCATTCTTGATTTGTTCGATGGCTGTCCTGATTTTCTCGATCGCTTGTGGAGTAACATCCATAGGAAGGTCTATAGGTGCCGCCTCGATTTCCAGTGGACTCAATGGCGCTGATTTATTCAAGAGTTCCTCAAGGTGTTCTACCCACCCGTTTTTTCGTTCCTAGATGAAGCGCAAAAATATCGTACAAAAAACACTAGACAAAAACTAGTGTGAGTCAATTGAAGCTAGACCACCGAGGAAAACCTGGAAACACTGGACGGCCGTTTCGTCCTATTATGGGACTCCTCAGCAGTGCGCATCCACGAACCCGCTCTCGCGAGATTAAGGGCTTCGGCTCGAGACTGGTAGGTCCTGGGTTCGAATCTCGCGAGAGTGGGTTCGTGGATGCGAACTGCTGAGGAGTCCCATAATAGGACGAAACGGCCGTCCAGGTTTTTCTCGGTGGTCTAGCTTCAATTGACTCATGCTTTCAACTATGAAACATACCAAATCTCCACAAAACCCCTTTTAAAAAAACTAGTGTGTTTACCGAAAATCCTGCAAAATATAAATCGTTTTTGCATTGCTAGTTTATCCTATTCGAGGACATTTTGAAATGGTTTTGTTTTCTATCCCATTTTCACGATCAAGTTTATACTTTTGATTACGGACTTTGAAACTCACTTGTGGTAATGAGGGAATAGCTTACTAATGCTAAATAACTGAGATGTCATTGATACTATATAGAGATAAGATTCTGCTATTCATCAATGGACATTAGTGAGAAAATATCTACGAATTTACTAAAATAATTGGATAGACGTTCAAAAAAGTAGCTTGAAATACATCTTAGTGGTACCGCAATATTTACTACTCCTGTCACTTTAAATAATCGGGTATATCATGCTTCTAAAAACCCTGTTTTATCTAAATAACCATCTGTAATTCCGTCGTAAAAATCTTAAGTTCTTCCTATTACACTTGTAAGTATTTTGGGGTTTTAAAGTAACATTTTCATACCAAATATGATAAGCATTCACCTTCCACACATCTAACGAAACTTTATTTTTTATTTCAGAACTAGTAAAACCCGTCCGTTATCTATCAGTATACAGGTACCCGTTTATCAAATAATTCTACATTTTTGCCATAATGGTGAAGCAACATTGCCTTGATCTACTATTAAATAAAATACCTTCCAATTTTATCGCCTACATTGACGAATGTCATATGCCTCACAATAATAATAGTTGGCTCTGGAAATGTTTAATAAATGAGAATTGTGAAAAATATACATGTATACTTGTTACTTCTGAATTATACAACTACAAAACTCTTGAGAATTCTCATCAGTCACTTAAAGTTCTGCATACTAATAATTATGAAACTTCTGAAAGTCTTTTAAATAAGCTGTCAAAAGTATCCTGTTCTGTTAAAAAGCAGAACGATCAACAAACATTTATCTTCATAGAGTCATTATCCTGGTTTTTAATTGACTGTCCTATCGATTATGAGTTTGATTACTGGTGTCAGTTTGTTATCGGTTCTTTGTTTAATCTTTCTTTGACACCCTATGTAAACCGAGTAGTTTGTAGCTTTAATCCTGTAATAGATAATTCTAGCAAGGCATATTATGGTGCATCTTCCACAGTAATTGATACACTAGAAGCATATGCAACTTCTGTTATTTACTGCCAGTCATTGATAGAGATCTCGAGTAGTTTGACGAATCAAATCTGTCAATCTGTGAAATTATTTCATCGTCGTAGCCTTCAGGGTGAGTGTAATAAATGCATAGAGAACTCAATCTCTTTCAATAAGTCTGGATTTACTGAGTGTGGTACCATCGAACTTGATACAAGAGCTTTGAAAATTCTCAAGTACTCGACAAATAAAAATGAATCAGATTCTTTACCAATGCCTAGCCCTTTACTTAAGAGTACTTTCAATCTAACGATGACTGAAAGCGAAAAAATTGCTCGTAGTTTCGTCGTTTTACCGCATGACGCAGTTCGACTATCCAACACAGTGGAGAAAAGTGAATCTTCCGGTTGTGTTATCCAGTATCAGCCTGATTGTTTTGATGATTTAGATGACGAGGATCCAGATGATGATTTAGATATTTGAACATATATTTTCAATATATTGTGAATTATTTTGTTATAAGAAATATTTTGAGGCTTTACCTTTATAATCTTTTCTATAAACTGTTTTATTCCCAAGTATTAAATTGTAATTATTACTTGTATTTCATATAAAATAAGACGTGTTAGATCATGTTATATAACTATTGTTCAGATTAAATTATAAACACTCAGTATTGTTTACTTGTGGGAAATGTTATGTTCCCAACACAATTCATTAAAAAGGAATTCAGATTAAATTTATAAAATGATTTAAATGTAATTGTTAATCTAATTTCCGTATTAAGTTAGTGCAACTTTCATTGTGTTAAGTAATTCGGTGTGATTCGCATTAATTTAACTTTAGAATTAGTTCTTTATAATTTCCTTTCAGCAGGACATTCATCTGAATTAATTTTGTGTAAAGTTCATCCAGTGGGGCAAATAATTCAACTAATGATTACCACGATAAAATCTGTATATAAATTAATGTATTGGGATGGGCCTCTATCAATAAATTTTCTTGGCAATCTTTAACTTCTATTTATGGTTAGTTGGCCGGGAAAAAAGGAGTCAGTCTTGTTCATTATTATTAAGTCAGTCACAACGTAGAACCTAATATGCATGTACAGGTTGTCATACCCCATCAACTCAGAGAGGTGAAGTTATCAAGCCTAACCCCAGAATAGTGCAGGTAGCATCAGTAGTGACTTCTCAAAAATTTCATCCAGTTGATTCCTTTTATAAATTTAAATAAAGCCAGAACAAACGTGGATGCAGAGTAATATGAATTCACTATACTTCCTGATTTCTCATCAACTACTTACAATCATATATGTACTGAAAGTTTACATTGAAGTAAGATATAATGTGAAACAATTGACATAGATGAATGAAAAGAATTGGAATGACAAAGGTTATCAATATCAACTATATATATATGTGTGCAGGAACAGGTCGGAGGTCATTTGGTGTTGAAATCCAAAGGGAAAGGGTTGTGTGTTGCATTAATTGAGGTTCAGAGACATAAGATAAATTGTGTGGTCATTTTAGAGGTTACGGAGGGTTTACATAAGACTCATGGGATTGAAAAACTGGTAAGATCGGTTACGTAATAATTGAACAGGATTTGTAGAGTCTACACAAGTTTAGAGAATTACGTGAATGGGAATATATGAGTGAAGAGGTGGTTTTATTGTACAGAAAATAAGAATTCGGTAAGGAGAGCCAACAACAAAATAATGATAAAAAATGATTTACCAGGGCAGTAACAGGTTTATTACTGTCTCTTTTTGTATACATAAGTCAGGCTAGAGTTTATTTTATCCTTGTTGCTCCAGCAAACCGAAGGGACGTTGTGTTCCTTTGTCTGCTAATAATTTTGAAAGCTTGAGGAATGTCGATAGTGTGTCCACTGTCAATTAAACACCGAGCCATTGTCCTTCTCAGTCTGAAGTTCGTTGGAACATGCTCGGAAATGCGAACATGTGCTCTTCTCACTGGTAATAGAAAACATTTAGGCATCGAGGATACGGCTTGAGGAAAAATATTTAAGTTACCGAACTATTAGGATATTCTTAAAAATATCCCGAAAATTATTCTGTCAAGTCTATTTCTATCTTGAACGTGAAATGATATGTTCTCAGACAATATAAATTTCACGTCACTTACTGGTCAGTATTCACGGTCATCCTAACTGTATAAATCTGTGAATTATATTCATTCTTCTGACCTCATAAACAATTTCCATCTAACAGTTTGTGTTCTGATATGTTGGAGATCGGAGAACAGTATTGTGGTCGTACAGGGATATCTGGAGTTGGTCAATCGCTAGAGTTTCGAGTAGCCACATCGCGGTCCACAATACGAACTAAAAACTAGAGATTATGAAAAATGCGAAGTCTCGGAATTTGGATAGAGACAAAGAATGGGTGCGCCTGTGCCATTACAAACGATTTTGAACTATGTCATCCTAAGTTTTTAACCGTTAGTTACAATAATCACGCGAACAAAAATCGTTCAGTCTACACCTATTAACATGGCTATGTTCAGTTTTTAGTGACTTCATAGACTAATATGCTTTTGTCGAGATATTTCAAGCTTTCTTCTAACCAACTCCCGCATCAGAAATCATAGGCCTTCGAGATAGGTGGTGATTGGGAATACTCAACATTATTATTAATGACGGAGTTGGAAATTGTTAATGAAGTGACCGGACTTGTATCTGACCGACTCACCTGAATGAAAATCATAGTAAACTAGTGGGTGGAACAATCCATAGTATTTAATGTGCAGTCAGAACAGAAACTAACTCATTGGTTTATTTTAGTAGACCCACTGAATAGATTAGACCTTTAAAGATGATCACATCCAGAAATATTTATATGTCATTAACACTTCTGTTGCAGCATTCAATTGATTGATTTTGAATCATTGATTTACTAATTTCAATTAGTTAATCTTAGTTTTCAAGAAGTTTCGACTGCACATTAAATGCTATGGATTGTTCAATCCACTAGTTTACTACGATTTTCATTCAGGTGAGTCAATCAGGGACAAGTCTCATATACACAGCTGCACACATTTTATCAGTGAACCACTACCCGCTGTCTAGACTATTTTGACCACCTAAAATATACATTAGTTGAAGGCATCACTCATTCAGTAAACACAGCCTATTACATGATTTGTCCTCTTTACTACAGTTATGGTTGATCAAACGTTAATACCTCGCGTTTAGCAGCTAGGTCAGATCTTAATTCATATTATTTATTTATAATTTACTCTGGTCGGCCTCGAATGCTTTTCAGCAGTCCTTTGAATGTTAAAAAGCATTCGAGGCCGACCAGAGTAAATTATAAATAAATAATATGAATTAAGATCTGACCTAGCTGCTAAACGCGAGGTATTAACGTTTGATCAACCATAACTGTAGTAAAGAGGACAAATCATGTAATAGGCTGTGTTTACTGAATGAGTGATGCCTGCAACTAATGTATATTTTAGGTGGTCAAAATAGTCTAGACAGCGGGTAGTGATTCACTGATAAAATGTGTGCAGCTGTGTATATGAGACTTGTCTCTGACTGACTCACTGAAAGGCTTTTAAATGTCTGTGGCGATTTTCTCGTCGATCCCAACCAGGATTTCTCCACGTTATTATGTGGATTAGACCAATAAACAATCAACCTACGAACCGATTTTGCGTCCGCGTTTGCATGTACCTCAGATATCTGTCTAATTTAATTCTATGTTAGTTTCTACAAAGCATCCGGGGCGGTGGTGGTTAGGCTTCAGTAAAATGAGTCAACCACCTCAGTAGATTAGAGCTGATAGCCTCATCAGCCAATTTGTCACTTTTCCATATTTCCCACCAGTACTTTTACAACTCTGACTTTTATTAGTTTAGTGTCCATGTGATTATTTCTGTATTTATTATGAGTAGATTTTATGCGTTACTAACCAATAATACATCACTTTATCTGTTTAGTTAAATGCTTATCTAATTCAAACCCTCGATCTCACAAAGTGATCACCTATTGTGAATATTAAGATAGATTAAGTCAACTTTAAATATTCTATACAATTTTGAATACATATATTTATACATTTATTTGGATGTATATACCAAAATATACCCACAATACGAAACCACAAACAAACTAAGGACGATCTCTTAAATACAACTTAATGACTAGTATTAATTAGTTTTTGTTATGCTATTCCTTAAATACTATTATTAGAGATATGAAATAACTGACTTACAATTTCAGTATGGATGCTTTTTAGATTGTCAATAATCTTTTATACTGATATATATCAACAGGGTTACTGCTTATTATTGATGACTTTCAACTTATCTAAATAGTGTTTACATACATAATAATATGCTTTATAAAGTGAAAAGTTATATTCAAACAAACAGCTAGCTTCAATTGACTCACGCTTTCAACTATGGAAACAGTAATGTGTTGCATAAATCAAAGAAGTTATGGAAAATACGACAATTAACTATATGCAATTACAGTTAATTGATTATTTCACTGGATGTTAGCCGATTTTTTATTGGTTGTTAATATTCTTTAAAGAAATGACTTTTCTATCAAGATTTACGAAATCTATACTTATATTAAGCATTAAAACAAATCTTCCTACAGTCTGTTGAATATGATGGGAGGGGGGAATAAGTAAATATTGACTGTCTTTGTTTTAACTGAATTTCCTGCAATAATAAACAAGCTCTTGTCACTATAGTGACATTTCTGTAAAGTATAAATGAAACAAAGATATATATGTATATATTTAGCAATTGATACATTTCCTACTGTTTCTTCCCATAATATCCACTTTATATCCTATTGTTCAATGTCAGATTATTGGTTAAGTAACACTCAGACTGATGTAATTCCTTTTGTACATTCACAACATCACTATTAAAATTTATTCCGATTGAACCTTTTCAAGTATTTTGTCTTTTAATAAATCGCATTCATTCCTAACACTTAACATCAACAATGATTCTTTGCCATCTTATCTGCTCCTTTTGTTTCTTTATTGTTCTCTTAATGGAATAATCTAAATAGTTATGAAGGATCACATTATCACCAACACCAACATTTGTATTACTTATCAAAATCCTCCATTAAGAAAACATGGTAGAATTATTAGCTGATATCTATACATGTAAGTGATATGTGCATTTTCGATTACAGTGATAATGTTGTCTTTTGTCAACTTTCATTTTTAAAAAAAAGCAACTTAACTATGGTGAAATTTCCAAAATAAAATGAGGGAATGACAAGATACTACTTTAACATAATGATTTAGTAAATAATTAATTTAATCTTTAATTAACTGAGAGAAAATATATTCAAAGGTCATTCGCTGTAAATCAATCATTTTATTATACTTATTTAGTTTATCTATACCGCGGATAGTTTGAGGAACTAAATATCTTAAAGAACGTATTTTTATTCATGAAGCACTCAAAACAAATCAACGTTCTATAGTCAAGCTTTACATACACCTGATACCAATCAAAATAAATCTTGAAAAGCTAACTAACTGAAATGAACAGACATCAAGTAATTCTGAATGATTTAAAGAACTCACACATTCGTAGTATCTCAATCACGAAGGTGTGAGAAACACACAATGGTCAACAAACACGTTCAGGTTGCTCAACAGAATTTCTAAAGTTTATAGCGTCAAATTTTGACAGGGACTTTGACAAGTAGTTATTAGTAGCATCCGTCTAGATCAAAGTAACTATTCATCTGTTCCTAGATTTGAAGGTTTCCGAGCTATTACCTGACCCTGACTCAAAGTATCGTTGAATAAATAACCGCTTAAAATTCCCTGTATTATTAGCCAAATAAACACATTACTAGTACGTCTTATTATCATTTTGATCGTTATTAAAACCATTAATACATTCTACATATAACAACTATTTTTTATAATATATCTAAAAAAGAATGACACTAAACTTCTCCATTAAAACTTCATCCATTAGGAATCGATGAGTACTGACTCAGATCAGGAAAAGTTGTTACAAAAATTTAAAGATTTACGTAAAGAACCACAAAAACAAGTAAACGATTTAACAAATGCAATAAACGATATTGAAGAGGTAAGTTTTATAATATCGTTTCATTATTATCTTGATGTTAAGTTATTGCACAGTTTATTTATGTAAATATGTTCAACTTCATGACTTTACCACTTAGCCTTAGTCAATTATCAATGTATGGGGATTTGTAAAGATTTTAGTAGTAGTGTAGTGAAAGAGAAACAAGTGGCGAAAATCGAGTGTACTTGAATACAAAATTATAGAACATCTTAGTAAAATTTGAGAGCCATACAGTAAATAGTTCATTTGAAAAATGTCAATCACTCGTCTCAGACTTCATTGCTCTTTCGTTTCCACACCAATCATTCTCTGTTCTCGTTCTCCTTTCTCTGATCTTCTTAACCTTCTACCGCCAGGCGTTTCACTATCGACTGACGATACATACTGCTTATATCCGTCGACATCAGTAACACACCACAGTAGTAATCCCATACTAGGACGAAATGGAAGTCCAGTGCTTACAGATTTTCAGTGGTGGTCTAACTTAGATCAACTCATGGATTCAACTTTGGAAATTATCAATGTCATTTGAGAAAAGCTGTTATAAATTTGGTTGTTTAAAATGTAGCATATTACACCATATTAACATTTACGGTAGATATCATAAAAATTGTAAGTGGATAAAATCACAGCATTAAACTATTTCAAGCAATATTCTACCTTATTAAACTTATGCATCAAGATACAATAATCAACAGCTTTTCGAAATTAAATTTACTTCATAGTATAAAATGTTCAAACAAGTTCAATAGAATAAATTGATTTAGAGCTTAAAGAATACCTGATAAGTCCACTGGTACGTGAAGGGTTGATAGAGTTCCCTGAAACGAGAATAAAATAAAACCATCTAGTTCAGAGAACACAATTTCATCAAGATTATTCATCTGAGCAATAAATCTGCTTCATTATAATACAATCGTCTAATATCAGCATAATGGATATTTTTAAATGCTGAAACATTTTTACAGTTAATGATAAAATCTATACATAACTAAGTCGAATTTATTTTCATTGAGTTTTTGGTGATGTATATCCCTTCATGTTAACTTTATTTCGAACTTTTCCATCTACTTAAACAAGAAATCACTAGTTATGAAAGTTTAGAAAATATTCAACATTATTACAATAGAAAAGCTTCCATAAAAAAATTAAGATCTCAATCTGTAGGAAATAGAATGTATTATGTCGAGTGAGTGTGTACCCTGTTAATATATATGAGCGTACTGATTCCCGCCAATTAGAGAGGAGTGAATTTATTGATCAGAGCAATGACACACAAAAGCCGTATGAACAGTCTTGAGTACTTATCAGTCCTGCTTTCTGCCTAGCTCAACCAGTTAAGTCCAGAACATCAATAACAGCCTCTGCAATATGAATCATTATTCTCAAGCATAATGGGTTTATATACCAAACAAACTGACCACATCGTACCATAAAATAGAAAATAATATTTGTACAAGATTTAGTCGAATGTGGCTGTGAATAGGGGGGAACAGTAATTAATAGACTGAGGATAATTCAACAATGGTAAATCGTATAATAATAGTCTGTGGGTCAAAATAAAGCTTTTAATAAGAGGGACACGAATATGAATAGTTTAGTTACTTAACAATTATACAATAGGAAATACATATATCATATTGGTCCATAAATAGTCCTCAAAGTTACCATTCATAATTTTCCACGGGATACAACAGAATATGATCAATAAATATTGATTGCTATGTTGGATAGTATTTCGCCGATTCATTTTTGCTAAAATATTCATCAACATCAAAATCTAACGATAAATCGAAGACAGCTAAATGACGCTAGATTTTAACTCAAAATAGTCAAATAACACAATCTTTGTACAAAACTACAAAGTCTGAACATCAATCTTATGATCTGTTTCAACACTGGAGGAAGATAGGTGTTTATCATCTACTCTTATTAGGTCATCTGATTTTATTTTTTCCTGTAACAGTTCGTTCTCAACCTAAAACAACTCTGGTAATATTCTTTTGTTATCTAGCATGGTGAGTTTCATATTGCTTTTCACATTATTTTTTATCATCTTTGTTTCTTCTTACCTTCCACTTGTCTAGTTGACCATTTATTTTCCATATATAAATGTTCTTAACAATAGCATGTATGATCCGATTGTTCGAGATGTATTGTGTTAATTCATTACATAGTTCTATTAATCTTCGTCTTCTTATTACATTATTCAAACTTATCAAAGGGACTAACTGTTTTAAAATGCATGCTGCTAAAACATTAAGAAGTTTCGATATGAATTAGCAACAAATCAGCTATCACATTCGCCCAAAAGTCACAAGTAAACATTAAGATACGCTGCTTTTCGAAATATACTCAGTTTGAAGATAATTTATATCCTGAAACGGTATCCGTTGGTGAACCACTGGAATGCTATAAGGGATATAGTAGACTGTTTCAAAATTCTCAATATTGCACGGCCAAGACACCAAACTAGATTTGGCTTAAAACCACTAAACTTTCAGACAAATATATGAATCCGATTGTCTAATTTCTGAATTGAGGATTTGTGAAATGAGATTTATTCACTATAACTCAGTTCTTACTTGTTAAAATCTTTTATTTATTTCCAGAATCTTATTAGAAATAAGGAAAGTCATAGCATACAAATGCAGAAGATCGATCAACTATATCGAACAAATGTGAACGATCTAAATGAAGAGATAAATGTAAGCAATGTTACATCTAAAAAAAGGAATTATATTTTTGTAAACTAGGAGTATTCATTATCTATGACGATTCTATGGTTCATAAAATGGATGGTTTAATTACAGAACCAAGTCTGAAGACCACTTTGAATACGAACCCCATTAAAAAGACGTTAAAATTATAGTACAAGCACACTCTATGGATTGTGGACAATCTCTACGAACTTGTCACTCATCTCAGTCTATTGTTAGTAAATGTATCGATACAAATCAAATATGTTAATCACTCAGTATCAGTTTAAAAAATCACATGATTATATATCAATTCAAGACAAAAGTCAATAGGAACGCCAATAGATATGAAGATGATAGAGCTTTTTAGAATAAATTATCATCAACGGGGTGGTCAAATTAGACTGAATCTTCACCAATAGAATGCTCACCTCTATCCTAGGTAGGACGTTAATGATCCCATCTCTGAACACGATTGTTTTATTGCAAGTTTCCATTATCATTCTGGACATCATTTACGCTTTATTAATTTTAGTCATAATAAATCTTAAGATAGAAATTATTTAAAAATAAACATTGATGATAATAATAAATTAGAATCGATAAATCAGAATACTGGTTAAGACTGATCATCACTGGAACAAAACCACAGTTTCTTGGTTCGCAATAGTTTCACAGGTGTGTTTTTAATATGAAATTAATGTGTTAATCAAGATAAAAGGTCTGCTTACATTTCTCAATTTTGTTTAAAAAAAGGCCTTCTTCAACATAACGAAATAGGATAAGCTGGATCAGGGAACATTTAGAAGAATGTTGCTCTTGGTTTTCCAAACTCTCTCGAGTTATAATTAAAAGGCTTATAAAATAATCAAAACAAACTTGATCTTTAAGTTTTCATGAGTATATCAGTAATACCAACGTTTTGGATACCCACAAACAAATACTCTGAAAAGTTTTACTAGGATTTGTTGAGGCGATCCTGAAAATTTCTCGCAATAGACATGACAAGCTCAAGAAACATTGTGGAGCATTTTATCCAATCAGCATTTGATTAGGAGTTTTGCTAGAAATATCACGAAAATGAAAAGTCACATGTAGAGGTTCTGATTGGCTGATTACTACACTGCTACTATGTTTAATAGCATTCTAGAATTTTCAGTAAAACCCAAGGTCTTCTAAAATACTAAAAAAATCCTATATTTTCTGTACATAAATGAACCTTTGGAGTAAAGTGCTTCCCACATATTTTGTGCCTTTTCACTCGTGTTCAAGTCTCTGTGTAGTTCTAGTTTGGGGGTTACGAGACTAGCTTAAGATCCGAGTATAGCGTTTAATCATCAAGACTTATTAGGATTAACATCCGTAAATAGTTGTGTGCAAATAACCGAACAAGTAAGATCCAGCTTAGTTAAAAGGAGGTTTAGAGAAATGTAATTTTGTTGAATTATCCCTTATTTATAAACTGTATACGCGAAATGTTTATTTTTAATATGAATTATTTAGCAATTGAAAGATGACCTTGAAATTCAGTCACTTCATTTGAAGCAAATTGAAAAGTGGTTAAAAGCAACACGAGGATGGATTTCAATTCGAAAATATTTGTATGAACAGAAATATCGTAAATGGAAAATGGAATTGTTAAGAACTCATTATCATGTATGTTTTATCATATTTATGTTGTGACTATTTAAGTGAATCTATTTGAAACGTTGCTTCAATAAATAGAAAAAGTGTTTTTCATTGGTAATTTGCTGGGCATACCTGGTGATCTTTCCTTGATAATTTAACTTCTAAATAAAAAATGTTGGTTCAACAAAAAGTTTTTTTTCCGGCGAATTCAAAGATGCCTTGTTACTACCAATTATTATAGTGTGATATTATTTTTTCAGTAATGAATAATCACTGAATTCATGATGTTTAGTTAGACTGAATAAATGAAATAACAGAAAGTAATTCTTGAAAATAATGAGAGTGTAATTTACTTTTCTGTCCAAATTATATCCTACTAGTTAAAAATCGATTATCTCTTGAACACTTCAGTTAACTATTATTGAATTCAAAAGTAGGACCAAAAGTGTGGATACTTTGTTAAAAAACGTTATACTAAATTTATCACTATCCGGTCATTTAGAGAAATTTTCAGATTGAATCTGTTTATTTGATAAGTCTTAATGATTGAACGCTATACTCGGATCTTAAGCTAGTCTCGTAACCCCCAAACTAGAACTACACAGAGACTTGAACACGAGTGAAAAGGCACAAAATATGTGGGAAGCACTTTACTCCAAAGGTTCATTTATGTACAGAAAATATAGGATTTTTTTAGTATTTTAGAAGACCTTGGGTTTTACTGAAAATTCTAGAATGCTATTAAACATAGTAGCAGTGTAGTAATCAGCCAATCAGAACCTCTACATGTGACTTTTCATTTTCGTGATATTTCTAGCAAAACTTCTAATCAAATGCTGATTGGATAAAATGCTCCACAATGTTTCTTGAGCTTGTCATGTCTATTGCGAGAAATTTTCAGGGTCATCCCAACATTATTAGTATATTTTTTCATTTGATTTATGATAAAGATGTTTTGAATCAAAACAATAATTTTCAAGATTCTTATTACAAAGTGAAAAAGTTACAATTATGGAAACTTTAATTATGAATAATGCGTAATCCTACTACTTATTTACTAAACCTCATCATTTTCAAGTCAGATACTTAGAATTAACAATTTAGTAGTCATTTCCATTGATTTTTTAAATATGCGGTTCACCCAATTAGGTAATTTCAACAACTCTCCTTGCACTAAAGTATCAAAGTCACACCAGTAATGAGCAGGATTCTAAATGAATGAAATGGTCGCACGACATTTGGATTAATCCAATTAACCAAATTAAATTTTAAACTTTTCATACTGTCCACACACAGAGATGTTTCCTAAGAAATTCTAAATTACTAACATTAATTTAGATAAAACAGCATTTTTATATGGTCAACCTGTAATTATATTTTTTTATTTAGGTTGAAGATGCATGTGAAGAATTCAATAAAACTGTATTCGGCAATGAAGCTAATCGTCCAGTATGGAAAGTAAGTATGAATTCAAAAGCGACAATACAACATCCTACTTCTTATAACTGGATAAATGAAAAATCTTGGCTTCATTATAGAAAACAAATTATTGAATCACAATTAAGTACAAAAAGTAAAGACCAAATAAAATGCATCCAAAATAAATTACGTAGTCGTGAAATAGCTCAACGAACATTTGATCGTTATTCTAATAGGGAATCTCATGAGGTTAATGTTGATGAAATAAATAAATCGAAGCAACAGGATGAATTAACAAAATATCCTTACAGTATAAATCATCCATTACATATACATGAGCAGCAATTGATGAATAAATTTAATCAACTAAAAACTATGCAATATTTAAATCTAATTGAATTAAACACAAAAGAGAATGATTTACATTCATTACTGTAAGTTTGTTTTTCATTTTAATACAGTGGTTATATGAAGGAAAAAGTAATCTTCATAGAATAAATACACTATTAAAAAAACACCGTCTATAAACTTTTAATTTAAAGATATTGTTGATGATATGATGATAAACTATATCTGGAGGAGAGGCCGATTCAAAAGACAGTTCGTACAGAAGATTTTTTGATATAAAAAACAATCACCCTCTGATTAAAAGCTAAGTTATTACGACTGATCAATTTAATGTATATTTTACTGTTAACCTACTTTTATGAAGCTAAGTACACAAGCCATTCGTTGTAGATACTTTTTCCTCTCATTGAAGAATATCTACTACTATGACTTAACAAAGAAAAACACAGGTCATTGACGTCCTTTATTCTGCAGCGTGTAATATATTCGTGGAATCCAGCTTCAGATACATTCTTTGACAGCATTTATTAGATTGACGAAAAGATTAGTCGTGTTGTATGCCTAAAAGTACCTTACGTTACAGACGCATTGCCTATTTACTTATTAAAACATAAATTTTGTATGAAAAAACATTTATGTTTTTAGACGTTAATTATTATATGTATATGTGCATATTTTTATTGACTAACCCAGTATTTTTGCTTGTTTTGTAAGAGGTAATAACACCGTTGCTCTACTCACACTTAAATCTCTATAGAAAAGTTTAATCTTGTGAATGAAGTCGCTAGAGAGAGGTGAAACCGTTGAATAAAAGCTGGTAAATCAATCGTTTTCATTTTCGAAATGAGAATAGAACAATTTTAATCGACACACTAGTTACTATTGACATCAAAATGGAATTTTTGAATAGTTCCTAACGTTTGGTTAAGAGCATAATCCTATTCATTAAAAGACATAACACAGTAATGTTCAAGTTTATTTTATGGTAGGTGTTGACAACGAGGAAGCTAATCATAAGAAATTGTCTCTTTTACCAAACGTGTCCAACTGTTTTCCGGTGATTTGAAGTTACTAATAGGCATTCTGTTTATAAATTTTTAGAATCGTATAACCCTAATAGTATGATACTAGCCTACTCAATCAAAATCGTTAATCCACTGAAACAACCTCATCAAATATTTATCAGTACGTTGATACCTGAGCTTTATTTCTGAAATTGTTTTTTGTAGAAAAATAAAACAAATTGACTAATGTTATTTGAACTGCTACAAAATATCACCATTTTATTGTGCACTAAACGCAATCATTAGTTGACAAAAAAAGTTGAAAACTGTAATATACGAAAGAACTATTCAATACTTTTACTTGATACTTTTGAAGAAATGGCCGAAACTCCTCTGATAAGTAATCGTCAGGTACATATCATTTAATACCTTCTGGAGAACCTTAAATTTTATGTTTACCACTAAATAATCAAGGAGTTTCGGGGATAGAAAAGCTATCTGAAGTTGTTTACTATACGGTATAAAATATTTTGAAACTGACTGGATTTATATCTTAGAAATATCTAGCATAAAAGTATACTTTTGATTTGCAGAGTACACATTAGGAATCTGAAATTTGATCTGGATAATGAATACACAAAATATACACAAATGAGTTTAAATGAAATCAACAAGAAGAAACAAAAGCTGATCAACGTAAGTTTCCTTTTCTTTCGTTTTTTTTAATTAAAAGTAATCCAGTTAACTTCCTGACTTTTTTCATATTATAGCTCTCAAAAGTACTAAATGAATTAGAAGAAGAAGAGGCTGCTGCATTCAGTAATTTATTTAGTGAAGCAAGAAAAACAAATGAAACAAGAACCGTGCTTAAAAACGAATTGAAATACTTAAGAATCAGTCAAAATATCAATCCTATGCATCGTTTTACTTATTTTGATTATAGGTATAATTTACCTTTATGCAAATTATAAAACAATGTTACATTTGTTCTGTATAGTTGTGGTGTTTGTACTAACTGATGATTCATTTGTAAACGATTGACTACTGATTGCAAATTACAAATGATAATAAGTTCATCTGTGCTCATCTAGTTCTGTCTACCTTAAATTGCACTGTGGTGTGTATTCCTCATATCGACATAAATAGTATATGTCGTGAGTTAAGAATAGAACGTCTGGAAGCAGAAGGTCGAGAAAGAAAGAACGGCTACAGAAAGCGATTGGTATAGAAATGAAGGAACAGTGAAGTCTGAGACGATTGATCGACATTTGCAAAGGAACAGTCAAGTTTGAAACATTTGATTGATATTTAGCAAATTAAGCATTTGTTGTTTGGTTCTCAGATTTGACTAAGTGATTCTAGAAATTTTGTGTTTAGACACATTCGATTGTCCGCAGTGGTGTTCTTGTTCATTACAGTAGAATTCTGGTAAAGATTGTTATTGTTTGTATGATTATATTAAAATAACAGTAAAAAAATCATTTTTAAAAATTTTTTTATTAAAAAAACGAACATTTTATCAAGTTCAGGTAAATTGAACTAATTTTGATTAATATTAGCACTACACTATTATCATCAAATATACTTACTTTTGAAGTGTGAAAATTTACTTTCTCTTTCATAAAACATAGTCTGAAATAACAGGTACGAAATACAAGTAAGGATAAGTAATGTTTGATCAGAAAAGTAGTCTTGGATCTATGACAAACGACAAATAAAATGTGTTAGTGAATTGGTAATTAAATCAACTTTAAAGTACAAGACATTTTAAATAGGGGATTTCGGAAATAAAGAGGGGTTGATTTAGATCCATCACAAAAAGCAATGACTTAACTTAAGGACTTATCTTAAAGTCTTTTCTTTCGAACTTTTTTCTCTTCTTTTCCTTAGTTTCTGATATTTCTCCTTCTCTTCTTCTATTCCATACATCGAAGAGGGAATTAAGAAAAATTTGGGTAGAATAACATGAATTATTGTTGTTCTTATAGGCCATCATCAGATGCCCGCAAACTTCAGTATTATAAAATAAAGAAAATACTTTGGAATTAAGATACTTATGCAACTAAAGCTGTTTAGGAATGAACATTTACCACCATGGTGCCACGAAAATGTAAATAGAGTTAGCAATATTCCACGAATTGTTACAACTCAATTCAATAAATGGTGATTCGGGAACACCGAAAATAGGGACTAAAGACCGTATATCTAAATATTAAACTATGATATGAAGTAAGCTCTGATATCAAAAATGATGACGAAATCTTCGTTACAAAACCACCTAGCGCAAACAACACAACTACCACAAATATCCACCTGAACTAAAACTCATCTCCAACATTTAACGACCACTTATATGAAAAAATGCAGTCAAAATTTCCCATTATCAAACTACTACCTCAACCTTTTAATATCGAATCGTCAAAAGCAAAGTCATGAATGTCCAGGTACTTGAATTCTGAAGTACTATGAATTGAACAACGCAAGCATTATGACCTAATGTTTAGCTTCATCTTTTCTGCGTTTGTTTTCACATTCAGTTTGACATCGCGTTTCGCCCCAAACTCCCAAATACCAAACCAATGACAAAAGAAACCAAAATGTCCGAAAAGAATGATATAAACAAACAAGTCCAAAGGTTAAGTAAAACAATCACATCCAAAAACACAGTAAAATTGATGTACAGTAAAAAGGTTTTAATCAGCCAAATGTCTTCAGTTCTCCCGTAACACTAATAATACTGTGGTGGTAAATAAATCACCAAAATAAATAGTTCTGTAAGTCTTTAACACTGGATGCTGACCACACTAGTTCTAATGGACTCACCTAGCTGAAGGCGCTTAGTCATGCATCTGCACCAGATCACAAGTGGGAACGCCGTGCCCAACATCCCCTGCAATCACTAGCCATCCTAGATCAGTCGATACGCGATATGTTGATAACCTATCAAGTATATCTTTGAACCTCCTCGCTTCTATCTTTTGATTTCACTTGCTGGGTACGATTCATTATAGGTGTAACTAGCTAAAGCGTTGTCAAACTTCGAATACCTGTGGCATCTCCAATACCCATCTGATAGGAATATCTGAAACGCGGACATCTCAAACTACGAACCAGAAGCTAGCAATAACAGGTATGTCTTTCATTCGCAACAACAGCAAGACCGGAATAGGGGATGCAATAGTCATGTACCTACGATCTTGTTTGGTAGCACATTAAGTTTACAATCAAGAGCTTGTCCATCTTGGTAAATCTATATCGTGCTCGGTAAGATTGTCTACCACGTCGAGGTATCTAGTGAGAGTCATGTACAAGAAGCTCAGTGATAACACCGAGTATGACAACCGAATGATGGAGGGATTATCTCTCTCCACGCGTCTTGGATACACTCATATCCTGAAGCTTTAATCTTCCTAAAGTCAACTTCACTGACCACTCGTACATTGGAGGTGACAACTCTACTGAAGCTGGGTTCTTCAACCCCATTGAAGATCTGGGATTATTCGTAAACGGGAACTTAACAACTCACTGAAAGAAGTCAGATGCCATCACTAAAACTGCACTGATGCAAACGAAGAATTTCTGTTTAAAACCCTATTAGTTACGACTCTCTTGAGTAAAACTGCCCATACTGTCATAGTCTTTAATCTTGTCTGCAAAATTGAGCTAAAACTTCTAACAACAGACGTTGGAATTAGTGAGAGTTGGATGTGTCAGCCTTACAAGTCGATCTACAATAAGTGGACTAGGAAGCCCACCATCAACTTGATAAGGACGCCCATTGGGATCTCTCACTGTAATAACCAATATACCAATACTCAGTTTGGACCCAGAACTAAAGAACCAAAATTTATTCGATTGGGCCAAACTGCATTCTTTTGTATAGCGCATAAATCGTTTTTGAGTGACTCGCAATATATTTTATCGAAACACGAACTTTGTGTCCAATTAAAACGGTTCTGATATAATAGAGAGAGTAAATTATATCAAAAGTACAAGATACCTCAAACAGTAAAGCCTATGCTATACAGTTAAGGGTTTTTCGAAAACAAACTAACGTGCTAAACAAAAAAGAGTTTGATACCTGAGAATCAATAAAAATGCTACAGATCAGTCGTGTGGAGTTTGAAGATTGCAACTTTTTCACGTAGTTTTGTTTTGTTCTTCCATTAGTTCTTCACTACAATTTAACATTTATCAGCGAAAAATACTTTATTTATGATAGAGTGTAGTAATTAGGAGTATTTTAATTATAGTATAAACTAGGAGTCCCAGACATAGCGCAATTTAATCAAGAAGTACTTAATGAACATCGACATCATTTGGTACTTCAAAATGGTTCAAAGGGTTGTGGACGGAATAGAAGCTTTCGCTTAACAGGCTTCCGTGTCCATTAGCAGTGGATCACCGACACCTCCAGGAACTTAGGTATATTATTGATGATAGAAGGAAAAGAAATTGGTGAATCATAGTAAGATATTATCCTTAGTCTTTAAGAATAAGTCAAGTTACCTCTTAAAGGACTCCTGAGAAGTCGCTTGGACTAGCTCAGTTGGCAGTGAATCCCAGCATTTGACAACTCTTACGGAGTAGAACTTATGTCTACAGTTTGTTCCGCTATGTTGGGTCTTCAGTTTCTGGGTGTTACCCTTTAGGTTAGTATTGTGAACAAAATTAAGCAGATGTTAAAAGGGATGACCAGAAATGTTAAGGATACTGTATGCCATAAGAAAGTCACCTTCAAGACGCCTATACTCTAACGGGCAAAGGTTTAGTGATTGGAGGCGCTCTTCATAAGGCTTGAAGTTAAGTCCTCGAACTGATTTCTTGGCTCGCCGTAGGATACGCTCCAGAGTGTCCTCATCCTTTTGGAGAGAGTGAGGAAATACTGTTTCCGCACTCCAATCGAGTACGAATAAAACTGTTGAAGATCATGTGGAAAGCTCTTCCGTCAAACTGGCCAAAAACGCTCTTCAACGTTACCAGTGCAAGGTTTGCTCGAAAGGCATTTTTATCACAGTTAGCGTAAGACTTCAGATCATGGAGCACCAACACTCCTGGATATTTTTCAACTTAGGACATCTCTAGAGGGGAGTTACCTAAGATATATTTGTAGTCTGCAACATGTCTCAGATGGACTACTTTGCACTTTGAAGTGTTAAAGGCAAACCCGCTGTAATCCTTTCAACTGTGAAATGCCAGTATATCTTCTTGCTTGCGTATCCCTTTCCAAAGTTTCACATTAGCAAAAAGCAACAAGTCAGACGATTCCTGTTGTGGAAGATCATTTATATATATCAAGAAGAGAAGAGGTCCTAGTAATGAGCCCTATGGGACCCCACTAGGACATTTCATAGCCTGAGAGAAAGTGAAGTTAACCCTGACCTTAAAATGTGGAGTTTTTAGATATGAAGTTAGCCAGTCATTTAGAAGTGGTTTGATACCCGATCGCCTATTGATAAGACACATATAGTTGACCCTATCAAAAGCTTTTGAGAAATCAAGGTAAATGATGTCAACCTTCCCCTTACGATAAAGGATGCTTGTCCATCTTTCCACCTCAGTCAACAGGTTGGTAATACAAGGGTGAACCTTCCTGAAATCATGCTTTTGGGGTGAGAAGAACTTTAAGGACAATTCATTCAATTGTTTGAAATCTCAGCTCTTGTTGTTGTTGGGATATCTTAGCTCAGTTTTGCTGACAAAATTGAAGGCTATGTAAGCGTGATTGCTCCTCTCCAGGGGAGCTGAAATCGAGAGGTTGTCAACTAAGAAATCTTCGTTTGTAAATACCCAGTCTAAGAGCGAAGGAGTATAACTGTTTCTCCGAGTCGCCGACTCCAAATTTTTGAATAATCGCACATCCTCAGTGAGGTTGAAGAACCGAGCATCAGTTGGGTTTTCAACCCCAATATAGGTATGTTCCGCGAAATTGACTCTAGGAAGATTGAAGTCCCCTAGAATCAGGATATGACAGAATCCGAGAAGCGTAGAGCGGGATAATCCTTCCAGCATACTATTTTCGTGCTCGATGCCAGCAGTAGATGACCTCAACTAGACACCTCGGGGTGATAGACAATCTTACCGAGCACCATACGATTCATCAAGATTGATAAATTCTTGGTCGTGCACTTGATGTATCTCCAGGCATGATCGTAAGTATAAAGCTACTCCACCCTCAATTCCTGTTTTTCTGTCAATGCGAAACAGAGACATCCCAGGCATTGCTAGCTCCTGGTTCGTAAACTGAGAAGATATCCAATTTTCAGATATTCTTTTCAGATAAGCGTTATTAGAATTGCTAAGATCACGTAGCTCATCCATTTTAATTGGTAAACTCGCGGCGTTCATGTATAAGCAGTTTATGCTTTCAATTTGGTACGCATGAGATCCTTCCTGTTTGTCTGCATGAGCCTTACGTAACCTACCTATACACGATTTTCCGAGTTGATAGCCTCCGTCCTTTACACGTGTTTTTTGACCAAGACAATTTAAACATGGAATGATCAACTCCAACTTGCCTTTGTGCTTGATCCTGGGGTCATATGGCTTATCCGGATGCATGTGGACTCCAGTTGGCAACTGACGTCTGTTGGCACGAAGTGC